TCCTGTGCTGTCCCTTGCTCCCGACCCACATACCCCAGCTCTGCCAGTGCCCCTCAAAAGGACCCTCCCCATCCCCTTCCCCCTCTGCTGGAGGCAGGCAACCCCCCCACCAACCCTCCTGCTCTGCCACAGCCCCCCAACTCAGACTTATCTGCTTGCAGCTCTCTGCCTACAGTCATCCCTCCCCTTGCTCCCACCAGCAGAGCAAAGCAAAAACCCAGACATTTGCTCAGAATTGAAAAACCCGCCTGGACAGAGATAGGAGGACTCAAAAAGAGGACGTGTCTGGGAAAACTCGGACATATGGTAATCCTATTTTTCTTATTGCATACCCCCTCCCAGATTTACCAGCTGCCCACATATCCTTACCAGAATACTTTAACCCCTTAAATGCCAATTTATTATAATAAAAATTAAATTCACCATTACACAATTTCTCCTGCGTAACCCCCAGAGATGTCTTGTGTACCCTCAGGGGTACTCGTACCACAGCTTGGGAACCCCTTCTCTAGTATAAATCTACCAAATGTCCTGGCCAAGCAGCTTGAAAAACGTTCTCCTGGCCTCCTTGAGGAATTTAAATATGAGTCACCCCAGTCAGCCACACCCACGCTGTGTCCTCCTGCTCCCACACCCACGCTGTGCCCTCCTGATCCCAAAGGCTCTGCTACTCCCAAGTCCGGAGGAAATGCACCAAGAGTGGGGATGCTGTGTCTCAACATGGTACTGCTTGGCAATATGAAGCTCTCTGGTGTGAAAGCAAATCAGTGCCCTTTCTTCTCCTGTCCCCCTGAGGCCGGGAAAATGGTAAGTAGAGGCTGACTCCCAAAAGTGACAGTCTGTGGCCAGTGAGCAAAAAGCCTCTCACAGGTAGTTGGAATTTGACTATTCAGCTTCGCAGGTGCATTAGTTTGGGAGTGAGCCAAGGGCTTGTCCAGAGCAAATGAACAAGACCAGTGGCCCAGGCACCCAGCCCTTCCTGGAGCAAGAAAGAAGTCTGTGCTTGCAGGAGGAGAGATGGGGCCCAGCCTGTGCCGACAACACTGGGTGGCAGCATGAGCCAGGCTGGGCGGTGGAGAGCTGCTGTTGCGCTGGACACAGACACCTGTCTCCTGTACGCTGTGGAGGAGCTGGGTGAGGGGAATCGATTCATACCATTTACAGATGCACAGTCATGACTCATATCTCAGAGAGGCCAACCTGCCCTCGTCTACCTCCGAAAGCTGGCAGGGAATCCTTCTCAGACATCTGGGGTGACGTGAGACGCTCTCCCTCAGAAAGCTGGGGTAGCAGTGGTTCTTAACTTCTTATTCATTTTCTCTGGCAAACCCACTCCTGGTTTGAGCCTGACACATTTAACTCATTTTCCCTCTGTTTTTTGTGGGGCTTGTGACCCCACTTCATTGCTGCAAACATGCAGTTTGAGGTAGGGTCTTGCAGGGGCCTTTTAGCAGTGGGGAGTAGTGTCGACACTCCCCAAAGCAGGAAGAGGCATGGTGCTTGGACCCCTTAACAGGCCTGAAATACATTTTGGAGAATCTGAAAGACTGGTACAGGAAAATGAGAGAGCTGGGATTGTACAGCACCATAAGGCTAATTGCATCATCATGAGAAACACATTTGGAGCATTAACCGAGTGGTGATAGAAGTCCCTTGGTTTGGCCCTTTCTACTCCTGCAGTTAAATCATTGTCAACAGGTGCTTTCATCATCAGTGCTGACAACAGATGTCGGGACTACTTGGCATATTTTTCCAATTTTACCTACCAGCAGGCTTTAATGGTATGGAGAGAAAACTGGGTCTAAAACATAGAACTAAGGTAATATAATTTGAATGTACAGAAATATCAGTTAGGATCCAATGCTGGTCTTGACTGAGCCAGGACACACACACATGCAGTGGAACAGGAATTGTAAAATTGAATTTGGAAAATCTGCACAATACTCTGCAGAAGGAATTTGGTTTTCATGCCCACTCCTTAGGCTTTCCAGTACTGTCACCTTAATATATAGCATAAGCAAAAAACCCCCAAACCTGTGCTTAATCTAAGAAGTCTTTTAGCTCCTAGTGTGTCATGGTCCCAAATCCACCTGAAGTCTATGCAGGGTTCAACTAAAAAACAAAAACCCTGCGGTACTAACTAGTTGCTATCGCCATGTGAAACCTGGGGAGGCAGGATGGGGATTTGGCACGTCAGAGTAATCTCTGCAGGAAGGGGCTTATAAAACTTCTTGAACCTGTCCCGTACCCCCACATCCCCAACAAACAGCATCCTAAAGGCAATGCTTCTTCCATAGATTGTATTTCCCTGTGCCATCAGGGGCTAATGGAGTTTAGTTCCACTCTTAATTAAAGGACACGTGAGCTGTGATGGACTTTTCTAGTTGGATTGTTTTACTTTCGTAGTAATGTGAATAAAATTAGTGATGATGGGCAAAGACCAAAGCAGCTTTGTGATGGCTTGAACATCATTTATTCCAAGGGTCAGATTTGTAAAGTTATTTAGGTTCCTGAAAATGCAGATAGGTGGCTTGTAGGATTTTTGAAATCTCTTCAATAAGCTGTGTGGACACATTGTTTTGGATGGGAGTTAGGCATGTAACCTGTTCAGGAATTTGAAAAATTCCACTTGGTACCTTTAGACTACACGCTATCTGTAGGTGGCTAAGTACCTTTGCAACTTGTCCCAGGGGCTGCTTTATTTCACTTTGCTTAGAAGATTTTTTATGGACAGACGTGTGGCTTTAGTGTATAACTGAGATTTGCACTATGATTACTGTTTTTCAAAATGCTTTAAAAATAAGAACTAGTGAGTTCTGGGAACACTTGAGTCATCTATTAAATGACGTCCCGTTAATTTCTTTCTCGATTTGAAAAGACATGCTGTTAAACATTGCTAATATGAATGCAGGTTCAAGATTAGAGAATATTGCAGGATATGCTTTTAATGAGGCTTGTAAATAGATGACCAGAAGTGTTTGAAGTGATTAAAAATTCAAGTTCAAACCAGACTAGTTATATTGAGATTCTCCATTCGCACTTTATGGGGGGAGAAAAAAGTTAATTTAGCTTTTAAAACCTCATTTGTACATCCACTGTTGCTGGTTAATTGATTCTTTGAATGACTTGGGTCTGAGTGAGTGTTAAACGTGTTATGTGCAAAATAGTAATGGGAATCATTGTGGTACATTGTGAGAGTGAAATAAACCCAGGGAATATCTTTAGCTAGAAAAAGCCAACATTGTGTACAGGCGCCCTATGACAATACTTGGCTTATAAAACTACTTCAGTTCTGTAGGAGCTCTAACTGCAGGGAACAACAAGCTTATGAATTTGTTGTGTCAGAAGGAAAGGGGAGGAACTTAGATTTAGGTCTTGCCTCCACTGGGAAAGGAAACATTGAGAGTGTCTGTGTAATCTTGTACTGATGAGCTGGCATTGCGCTGCTTTATCAAGATCAGTATTTCAGATCCTCTGCCCTATGGTGTGAGTGATGGTGATTTTAGAATTGCTGCGAGAAAGAAGAAAAGGAAACTAATCCAGAAATGATGGGTGAAATGCAAGCTGGCATTTAATGCTGTGAGAAACCTGAAGAGCAGAAAACTATTCGATACCAATCAGGTATGTGGTGAATTGGGTTACATATATTTGTTAAATGTTGTAAAAACTGATAGCCACTAGGTATATCAACAGTAAAATACTTCCGTGCGGCAATCTCATTTCATTTATGGTTTAAGAGGCTTATCCTTTTACAAATTATGGTTTCTAAAGTATGATCAATGTGTGTTAGCTTGTACAGATAAAAATAATCCCGAAACAGGTTTATCTCTGCAAAAATTCTTTGGTTTCTCATACCATTTCCAGGACTTTGGACTATAGCATCTTGATTTTTTTTCTTAAGATGCTTTTAACAAAAGTTTATTAACATGGCACTGCTGGAGTGAAGCAGAGGTGAATATTTGCATGCAAATTCTAGGAAAACAAATGACTTGAGAGTTTCTTTACAACAACGCATTGTAAAAGCCATTTGGTAACGTGGAAGGGTCTGATCCAAAGCCTAATGGATTAAATAGGAATCTTTGACATAAGTGGCTTTTGGATTGGACCCTTCCTGGACTGTGATGCACTGAAGCTCCAAAACATGTTAGGAGCCTCCTTTTTCAATCTTTGTTCTTTCAGCCACTCTATTTGCCTAAGTGATTTCCCGTTTCTGTTGTTCAGTGGCTAAGATTTCACTGCCAGGTGTCTGCTTCATTTTTTTAAATATAAAGAACATTTCTTTGATATTGAAAAAGGTTTTCCCAAGTAGACAAGAGAGGGCAAGCCTTGTTTGTTAAGGGCCCTTTTAAAAATTCTAAGGTCCTGGTGTTATAACTGGAATTATAATGCTAAAACTAAGATAATACATTTATTCTGAATTAATACTAATATGCGACTGTATGAAGCCATCATTGGTAAGCAGAGATCTTCATAGAAATCAATTAGGCAGTCTCCCTAAAAAAAAAAACAGTGGAATCATCTAAATCTTATTACTAGACCCATTTAATAAAACTTAAAGTTTGGAAAAAATAAAATGCATATAAAATTGCAGTCAACTCTGATACAGACATCACTGTTTCATAAAACCAATAACATAAAAACCCTGAAAACAGCACATAAAAATTATGGCTGTTTATCTAAGTAAAAAAAAGTTTTGGTAGGACTGACAGCACCCAGAGAAGCAATCTTTGTAATATTAAGTGATACAGCCTCAGATTCTGAATTGCTGGATATAATTAGCAATCTTATTTCTTTTCACACTCTGAAATTATTTTTGCAACCACAGATATCTTTTGGAGGAAAAAGAATAATGTGGAAGGGTAGTATCTTTTAACTGGTATCTTTTACGTTTCTGATTCCCAGCACACAATAGTCAGTAACTACTTTTCAGGTTTTAACAAAAGTTCCTGTGAACTGTATCTAGTTAATGTTATTTATATACACTAACTTAGCAAAGATAGATGGTCTGTTCAGTGTCTTTCCAATCATACACAAAATGTCTATGTAAGATTGCAACCTACTTTCCCCCGTTCTTTTCAGAGTAAGGAACAGAGCTAGCATTGGCATACTTAGACTATCAAAATTACATGTGCCCAGACGATAATAGATTCCTTCCTTATAGATTTTTCCAAAGGGAAAGGGGAAGCGAGGGGGGGGGGGGCAGG